TTTACGAAATGTTTTTCAAATATCTTCCCTATAACAGGAATATGGTAGCTGAAACTTTCACACATTGTCATACTATGTATATTGAATATGTGTGCAAGATTTCAAGTCACAATGTTAAGTAGAAACTCTGAGATCACTTACCTAGATTTGCTGTCATATTTTTGCAATGATCCCATTCCCTATAATGTACGCGAGTACCCACAAAACATTACATATAAATGACTGCATCCACATAGATCGACTAGCCACAGTGTTGTTTGGAAACAACACCGTCATGGTATGTTTCGGCAAACAATGCACTGAGTCCAGGGCTTAAATCCTTAAATATATCACTCACTTGCTGTAATTATATTACATACTAGAAGTATTTGATAATCAAACCATTACTTAAATTATGGTTACTATTATGGTCAATATTAAAGTGTCTGTGCGATGCTTATGGGGTCAAAATTCAGTTTATACATATTTTAAATGAAGTAAACACCACTTACAAGTCAAACCATGTACCGTTCTTGTAAATCTTTCTATAAATGTGAAATTTGATGTTCAAAATCGGGAACCCAATGTCAAGTGCCAATCATGACATCACGATCAGAACAGGTTTTGAACATGTTGCTGGAGTTTATGATCTCCGAATGTGCTTATAAAGTGTCAGTGTAATTAATTGCCACTGCATTCAAGACAGTGCGGAAATGATTCAACTTTGACTACTTTGGAGCCACGATTGTTCCTCCGATGATCGAAAAATATAATACCTCAATTAGAGCTCCCGACCCTGTGGTGCGTTTTCACAAAAATAGTCATGCAGAATTACGTTCTGGCCAGTCAGAATACAGTATAGAAACTATACACGTTGAGTTGATCCTGTTACATAACTCAATGCTGTTTAAAATCTTACAACCAAAAGGCATTGAACCATGAGGTGATTTGAGAAGCGTTAATCCTTTCTGGCCAATCAGAACACAGTATAACATGAACACTTTTGTATTTACGTTCGAGTTGCATAACGCATTGCCGATTAAAATCCATAACCGGTTCTGATCGTGACGTCATGTTTTTTTCTGGGAAATCTTATGTTGGCACTGAAAGACAATCAGATGAAGATGTGAGTCTGTTGGTATACTGTTTCTACCAACCAATACCCATTGAATCTATTTGTGTAAAGAAAAATAAATGGAAATTACCGAATTGGCACTTTAAGTTACATGAAAAATGATAATCACCCCCTTTAATATGTTTACGTTTTTTACTACCATCACGTTTTTTATATTTTGCGTAAACCAGACAGTAATTTTTTATTATATCACTTCAAACAATTTATCTTACAATTCATGTCCTTATTTCTATCAATTCCAGGAAAATGGCGACTGTGTTTGAAAAGTTATATTTCTATTGAAATCCAATATAAAAATTTAAATCCCACTTGGGTAGCAACACAATAGAATTTGCTGTGGTTTATTTTTAAGAATGTATGGTTTTATCAAAAGGAAAGTGCATTATTTTTCTATTGTTTTTAAAGAATGTACACTTGGCAAGCTATCAAAAACAAGTGAGACATAAATGACCATTGACAGTTTTTGATAGTTTTCATTCCCTAAAAACAATATACAAAAATACATGTACCCTTCTCTTGTTACTGTGCATTCTTTAGAATAAAACAATTTATCAATTTTTGTTGCTATCTACATCATTGATCTTATCTTACTTACAAATATTCTGCTGTATTCAAATTCAATGTTCTGGACTGGACAGTCACCTGTAGTGCACTGAAGCTAGACTAATTATAGCCCACTCAGTCACTTACATCAACTCACACTCATGAGGTCAATGCAACCAACTCTTTTTGTTGTTACAATTAATTGGCTATATTACAACAAATTTTAACCAATAAGAGTCAGGGTCATTGTGAGCTTGGTTGAAGTTTGCAAAATTCACAGTTTGAATAGTCAATACAAAAGAAATCACATTTTTCCGGATTAAAGACCTTTTAACTGTAATATAATAGACCATTTACCTGTAATAAGAATGTGTATGATTTAAGTAAGATAAAGCATTCGAATTCGATTCTCATGCTTTATCCAGTCCAGAATTTTGAATTAATGGATAATTTCATGCAAAAAACTTCACCACCTCTCATTGGCAATTAGAAACAATTGACATACAATATATAAATTGATAGAGTTAAAATATTTTTTTATAATCTAGTGTCAACTCTGATGTGGTCTGTTCGAGGTGTTTTTTGGTCTCAAATGAAAGATCTGGTACTTATCAATCCATTGGAAATACTTTGAAGATCAAAAGTAAAACTTCATTTTGCCGATAATACGCATTTAGTTCCTTTAATGTTAATAGTGTAAAATCAAAACAAACGAGGAATAAAGAAAAGATTGCAACGAAGAAAATAGTTAAACTTTTCTTTTACGTGCGCCACTCAGATGATATGTTTGCTATTCGGATAGAACTCGATCCACCGATACCGGTATGCTTGACAATCAAACTGGTAAGCGCATTTATCCGCACCTAGTCTTTTAACTGCCCTAGTTTGATCGCGTGATCGCAGTAACTGAATTTAGGGGAGGGACTCCAAGACGATTGTTGATTGTCGATATCCAAGTGGGTCACTCATAAGCATCATTGATTTGGTTAGTACTCTTTGTAAAGATCATATCCAATCATAACTTAAGTGCACTGTAGCCAAGGACTGAAACTAGTTGAGGATAGAGGGAATGGATCTTAAAACAAGAGCTTCGACAAGTACTTATAACATGGTGAGTATACAATCTTTGCCTTTCTATGCAGCATCATGATAAAAATGAGTGCTCATATACATATTTATGTTAGAATATTAGATAAGCTTAAAGGCACACTATACTTAATTTGGAAGAAAAAAGAAAAAAATAATCATTGAAACATGTTACTCACACACTTGCTCAAATATGACACAAAGTTTGATTTGCTTTAATATTGGACCAAAACAAAAATAACTTGCATAGAAAAAAGTGTTTAAGTTCAGAGATCATGAGACATGCATGCACATGTTAAACAATGTGCATGTTTTAAATTACTATTGATTTAAAAGATGGCGACACTTCTATTAAAATGAATGTATCGTGTAATTACCAAACAACTTTACCATCTTTGTTTGACATTGATGAAAACTTGATATATAAAGCTTGACAGATCGAAAATATTTGATAATTTATTGTTAGCTTTAATATGGTCCATTTGAGGTGTTCTTGATGTTAAATGAAAGATAAGGCTCTTAACAATACATTGGACATACTAGACATTTAAATGTAAGTCTTTATTTTGCCCAAAAATGTTGAAAATTCCCAAAGTGGGCCTTTAACCTTTTACATGAATCTGGAATATAATATACAGAAAAACCTATGTACAGTGAACACCTAAAGAGCCACTAAAAATATGTTCACTGCAGGTAGGTGCTCACTACAGAGAGGAGTACTTTCTGTGACGGGGTGTTCACTAGACACAGGTTTTCACAAGAGGGGGGGGTGTTCACTAAGGCAAGTTTTACTATAATGCAAAACTGCATCAACATTGAAGTTAACGGGAAATGACAAAACAAAAAAGTGACAAAACCATGCTGGATTTTGAAAATCTTTTGAACCAAGATGACAGAGTTCTGTTTGGACCTCCAGTCAGTTTAACTAGTTCCACATATCATTTACATGACCGAGAACACAATGGAAATGACCATAAACATGATGAAATAACCTTTTCAGGCCTCTGAAAATGTGACTGAAAAATAGCTATTAATAGCTATAGTCATTTAAATGTGGAACTAGTTAAACTGACTGGAGGTCAAAACAGAACTCTGTTATCTTGGTTCAAACAAAATCCAGCATGGTTTTGTCACTTTTTGTTTTGTCATTCCCCGTTAACTACATCATGGCACCTTAGGTGGTTCAAGGGAATAAACCTAAACGTTTTGTAATGGTAAGTGAGTTCATTATCTTACTCGTGTTGTATCAACGTTTTGGTGCCTTGGATTCTATTCTTTGAGACGAAAATGCTAATTTATGAAGTCTCCAAGTTTTTGAAAAGTTTTCACAGTACATTTGCAGAGCTTGGGAAATGTACAGAAGCTAAAGTTATGAATTTTCAGGATAAATGATTAATAAATCAACGTCAGATCATTTTTTTGTGGGTATGCAGCTCAGATAAATCCGTAGATGGAAACCTTCAGTTTCATTACTTTTTTCGAAAGTGTCCTTCATTTTTGTCAAGTTTTCTCATATTTAATGTGAAAGTTATGGTCACAATTACAATAATACTAACATATTCTATTATTGTATCTGTTATTCTAGTAGGAGTATAATTTGAAAGGACCTCCTACCCTTTTACACCTGGCCTGTACTAAGGGTATTAGTGCTAGTTACCGAAAAGTTTCTTGGGAGGTTCCAGGGATTAATTAATAATATATCGTCATTCAACTTGGATTATGTTTGGTCTAAAAGAGGAGTTCAATCGGCCGACCACCGTCTTTGTTGATAAATTTTATTCTTAGACGTCTTGTTAATATGTTGGCTGAGTTTCTTTCAACCTGTCTTGATTGCGTTAAAAGTAATTTTCGAGAGTGCCTTCGTGACATCTCCTGGAGACTTTCCCATACCTTTTACTCACTGGAGTTTACATCAGAACTATTAGTTTGGTGGTCATCAGGCGGTATCAGTTAAGGAGAACGTTTTGCAAATTATGTTTATTTCTCATCACATCACATGATTAAATGAGACGCTTGAGACACATTTTATTCAAGTAAAAGAATACAATTCATAATTCATGGCTAGATAGCAACCTTACGTTTCATTTGGTATGCAAAGTATGATTTTGTATCAAGCAAGCATTTTGAAAAAGTGGTGTTTTTTGGCCCACTCTGTATTACATCTGATCTGGCCGTTCAGCTCATGTATGCTTTGAAAACTCTGATGTAATGTTATGTGAGATAACGCCTTTCCTAACAACTGGTTTATCTATTTTTCAAGGTGCATGTCAAATTACTCCAAGTTTTGTTCATCTTATCTGTATCGACGTTCCCGTCGACTGCTACAAAAACAGCCCTATTGAATGTCGACATCCAGAATTGTTTTGTGACTAATGGAACCTTGCCCGTACCAGATGGGGAGACGATCGTCCCCATCATTAACATCATCCTTCAAGGACAACAAGACAAGTTTGATGTAATTTTCAACACGCAGGACTGGCACCCATATGATCATATATCGTTCGCTTCGCAACATCTGGGTCACGATGTATATGACGTCATCGATCTGAAGTACAACCCACACGGTAATATAGCGCAAAGAACTGTTGTATTCTCTAACTTGCTAAACAGTCAATATGTTTTTGTATGTACTAGCCTGACATATCCATAAACCAAGGGCGTTACAATACCCGGGAATTTATCGGTTCGTGCAGTACTTGTTTGTGATAGCGCCCTCTGTAGGTCACTGTGCTTATAGCCTACAGTAATACGGGGTAGGATATCGGGAATTCGGTCAGTTTCTATCCGTCGATTACGCTATGAATTGAAGCAAGTGTTACCACTTTATCCACTTAAACAATTTAATAATTGATTAAATCTTTGAACAAAATCGATAAACACGTTATACACTTCCTATCTCCTTAGCAATTAGCATGTATTTATGGATTGTGTTTTCGAACAAGGCTCGACCCAGACCAATAGGGAAATCCTTATGCTAATTAGTATGACGTCATATTTTCCTGGGGAATCCTAGATTTCGAAGACTCAGTCTGTTATTGTGTCAAATGTAAACGCTCTTTTGCAAACAGAAAATTGACAGATAAGCTTTTAACTTTCAGCTTTGATGTTTAAATATTGTGTATTTCTACCGGACTTCTTGCTGAATATCATATTATGTTATAACTTGATTTGGACCATTGCCTGATTGGTCATAGTGAAATTTTGATTGTGATTCATGATTGACTGGCAAGAAAAATAATTCCTATTGTTTTCCAGCGAAGTCAAAATGTTACAGCATGAGTTATAATGTCGAGCATCATGTTAAATTCTGCTAGTGATTAGAAGTCCATGCACAAGCATACACATAAGAGACAAACACACCCAGGCTCCAGGCCGTGGATGGAAATATAAAACCATTTAAGGCACAAACTGGTATTTAATAGACCGATATGTAGTGTCTGCCATGTATTGAAGGTAAACCAATCTGCATTATTAATGTTACTTCTATCAATACATGGATTGAGCAATGGAAAAGCAATGGCACAATCAAAAATGTGCATATCAATCGTGAATATCTCTCGGTTCAAAGCTTATTTCCAACAGAATCGTGTCAAAATATGTGTCTGAGTAACAGTTATACATTATAAGATCGCAAACTCTTACCAATTATTAGCCGAATGGCTTATTTTCAACGAAATGTCCTTAAGACAACAGCCCTGGGTCGCGCCTGAGACCAAAAACTGTTTCAAATATCCCTCCCCTAATTATATTGGATAATAACATTTATGCGTGCGCGCGCAGCTCATCCACTGAACGAAACGCCACTTCCCGCTGAAATCACCGGGTATTGATCTTTCCCTTGCATAAACCAGCTGGAGCCAAAATAGAATGATTTGATATATGAAGTTTAAGGAAGCACTCCATAGCACTAGCAGCTATGCTGATCATTGTAGCGCAGCTATACGCAATAATTATGCATCTCAAACTCTAATTTCATTGTGATTTAGGTTATCATAACCCGGACCTATATGTCGTGTGCAATTTTAGTGTCATTGCCCACGATGTATCACATAATTTATATAACCGAGACACTGTTTTGTGTTATTTGATTATGTTTCAGGTGACCTTTGTTCGACTTCCACTGTGAATACAAGCTATTCTACCAAGTGCAGTGTAGTTGCCCACAATGTATCACAGACTCTTTGGCCGGACCACTGTGTGATTAACACAACAGACGCTGACTTTGTCTCGACATTGCTGACCACTGACAAAACTTTTATTATTCAGAAAGGATACAATAGGAAGGTATATGCTTTTGCATACGACTTTGTTGCAATTAATATATGTTTGATGTATTGTTTTGTTGTAATTGACCTTTCATATATTTTGTCAATTTTAGTCTAACTCTCTCGCTATTTAGTGACTTGAACACAAAGTAAGTCACAAGTAAGTTAATCAGTACATCCCTTTGCCTTGAATGTCATAAATGGTTGCAATAAAACACACGATAAAAATAATAATCGAACAACAAGTATTACCTTTTCTATTCTATATCATCAATATCAAAATATGTTTTTTTGGTTTTGTCAACATTATTGTGATTTCGAAATTTGCTTTGGAATACAACTCATTGAATTTCATTTTTATTGAAGGTCGTCAATTGCTTTTATTTGCTAAATGAAAATAGGAGGATGAATAAAGTTGAAACGTTTGTTTGTGTTAAAACGATTTAATTGTATCCATATATATAACACATATTAAAAGGTAGGTTTCTAAACAGAAGAAATCAGGAGTTTTCATGTTTGAAAAAACAACAAAAAGGACTAGTTTTCCGGTATTCGTAGGCTGTTCAAAGTGAACTATTATGCAATCATACTCAATGATGGATGAGTATATGAGTCAAGTTTGAAAGTGCATTGCTCTCATTTTTTACTCTTGAGAGAACCACATGTTCAATTCAATCGTATAGTACCTTGCCGTATAACAACTTTCTTTTTTTTCAATCCATTAATCTTACAAAATGAATTTAGTTATCGGCATCTGGATTCATACGATGCTCCAAAAGATAATTCAAGTATGATCTTAAATGTTAAGTACTATTGATGATGGGTATGCCAATTAATATAAACCAAAAATATAAAATGATGATATTTACCAATTCGGTCATGCAACTCATCGTTTGTTTGAAACAGCTGTGCAAACGATAACAAAATATTCACCTTTCGTGCATTTTCTCTTTTTAGATAGACTCTTACTCTGCATTTTATGACAACGGTGGTTTCACACAGACAGAACTACACAATCGTCTGAAGAGTTTTGATATAGACACCCTGTTCATTACCGGTCTTGCTACTGACTTCTGCTTGTATTGGACTGCCAAAGATGCCAAGAGATTAGGTCAATATCAATTTTGTCTGTTTTAAAGGTTTGGAATATATAGATTCTTGTTTACAGCTTAAAAAATTCAAAAATTTAAATATTCAAGGTTTCTATATAATTATCATGATTGAATTGAGTCACCCTGATTTCACAAATGGCTAAATATTTTAAACGATTATCAAATGAGATTTGGTCAATTGGTATAATCATATTAAATGATTTTCACGCATATTTTCCCTTATTGCAGTGACAAAATTTCGAGGTTTACCAATCCTAAGCTGTCTGATACAGCATTGTCACACCGGATCCTTATTGGTCACAATGTGATAATGCATGCCTTGCTATGTGTGAATATACTGATGTTCTATACATGTTTACAATGCAAAGGTGATAGGCGGTTGGTATTCAGCGTTCAGCGTCTGTAACAAATGACAGGTGGTTATATTCTGCTGTCAATGTTTGATTTGTTCTGTGCTTCAGGTTATAATGTGTACGTTGTCTTGGATACATCAAGAGGTATCACGTTTCAGGGAACAATCGATGCTGTTGCAGATATGAGAACTAAAGGTACATGTTTATACAAAACTCCTCTTCAATATGTGAAGAGAAAATATATTTTCAAGTATTTGAAATTCGTGACATTCTCTATAACTCAATCAATTATGGGTTCAGGTTTGCATTTTTTCAATATCCCAGGACGTTTCCTAATGCCGCAGATCTTTAACATCGTCCACGGTCAAAATTTCGAAATTTTGAAGTAACAATTGATAAAGTACTATATGTAGTTAACACAAATTTCGTGGTAAAATCTACATCTATATAAGTACAATCATAATTTGGACACAAAACGTTTGTTTGGGGAAACATTTTTTATTCAAATTTCAAAACTGTCGTTTATTTCATAAGATATGTTTTATGTGTTGTATATCTCTAATTGTAATTACAGCCAAGATAATAATTTAAATAAAAAATGTTTTCCCAGACTTACATTTTCAATGCACCTGACTGTAAATGATGCCCAAAGGATGAGTCTGGGAATCAGTCTGGATATCGACTTAGAAAATATTGAAAATTGTAATGTCTGAAAGACCAACTCAATCACACATATTATTAAACTTCAATATCTTATCCTTCCTCTGAGAGTACAAAAATATCAATTTGTATTACAATTAATGAAGAATATTGGCATCAAAGAGAATGCATATGACTATGCCACAATTGAAAAAAAATTCAAGTGTAAATACTAAATGAATAATTTATACAAAAAGTTTGAAACATATCCTCTAAAACATTGCTTACTTTCTTTGTATAGACATTGAATGGTATTTCTTGATAAGTGAATTGGTGTTTATCTGGCTAATCAAGGGATTATAGTCACTCAAAGTTACTGAGCATCCAGTTTTGACACTTCAATTGTTTTGGTGAAATTATACATATTTCAGTCAAATTCATGCAGAGCACAACATTTTGGTTTCAATTTTATAATATCTATACATGACCCTGGTGATAGAGAGTCAGAATCAGTCAAAAAACCCAAACCGGAAAACTGTGCTCATTGTGAAAACTAAAAGTGAAGCTTTTTTCTGATTTCTTATACCAAATGACAGCCATCTTGCTTTTCCCACTTCAAATTAAACTGGCGGGAAATTCAAAAATTTGAAAAAAATTAAATCCTAAAATATATTTAAAAAATATGATTTTTTTTTAAATTCTTCATGGGTCTTTTAAGTTATTCTTATTTTACATGTCATACATGTTGCATTTTGTGTTTTTTCTATGATAATGATTATTTGTTTTCTGTAAGGATACTTATTTTGACTCTCCGCAGGGGGTTAATTATTCATCAAAACTCATGAAAAAGTAAATATACTTAACAAATATAACTAGGACAGTTATAAAAATCATATTTCACATACATTTAACTGAGGGGCCAAAAGGGCATATATCCAGACTCATCCTTACGTAGACTCATTAACTGGAGTGAATTGTATGATACTCTGATGTTTCTCAATGTAAGACATCTTCTTTCAGGAATACACATAATCAATTCTACAGACGTGGCTAGTGCATTAGAAGATTTGAACCAGTCGTCTTATGCAACAACATTGCCTTCAAACCACATATTGGTCCCTATGGTCCTGGTAGCATTTTGGACTATGTTGGATAGTATTGTATTTGAATGAAAACAATTGTGTGCCAACTGATTTCATAATATAGCCAATGAAACGGTTTTAAACTTGCTCAACTTATAAGACGATGATTTATAAGAATATCACACTTATGGACATATAGAGCATGATGACGTAATCACACGCTTATACTTATACGTTATCACACTACCCTACAACGTGGCCACGTTTAAAAGGGGTACGGGCAACAGTTAAGTTGCAAATGAACGTAAACTACATTTACATAATAACTTAAGTTCATTTACTTCAGAGTAAAATGTTTTATTTTCGACGTTTCGCTTATCATCCAACTAGCTTTATCAAGATTACATTCAAAATGGAAGTACGCAGTTATATTATTTATGACGTAATAATTGAACAATACAATACCCAGGTAACAATAAACAATACAATAATAAACAATGACAATAAACTATGACAACAAACTATAACTATAAACTACAAATAGAAACACCAATGTTTTATATATAAAACTATGGCTAGGAAACAATGGAAATATATAAATTCATAGAAGTTTTAGGGCTTATAGGATATCCTGCATCCATGTTCAACATTGGTTTATACTGCTTTATATAAACTGCTTCTTTAACTTTACGCTTGAGATTATTATTTTCTGTATCTATCACTGAGACATTTTGCCAGTCAATTGTATGATCATAATCAAGGGAATGTTCTTTTATTGTAGATGCCATTACATAAAAATACATTGACATATATCCCTATATACCTAGTGTTCTACTAGACATAACGTAGAATCATCAGCAGAAACCCCTATATAGCAGGCAAAGATAGAGAATAGTGTGTGTAGTAAGGCGATTCTTTGCACATGTATTTCCATCGATTGGCTGGCCCCAATATAGGGAGTATTCTCTTTAGTAAAACCCCCTTCCCCCTTGGAGAAAAGTGTCTTACGTGAAAATTCATTGCTGTCACTTTTTATTCATCTTAAAAGGTCCATGTGCAGTATGGCACGTGATTTTAGACGGTCATATCTTTCAACATGGGTATTTTCTAGCCATAAATGCATTGAGTTATAGGAATGTTTGACGTGTAATTTGGATAGTAAAGATCGAAAATCCAATGATCTGAATCCATTATCTTTGGTGGAAACACAGATCCAAATATGTCCATATGTGTTTTGTGAATGAAATAGGACATTTTCATGCATTTCCGGAACTCCTGTTTACAATCAAAAACAATCCCAACTTCATCGTGCCTGCTATTCCGTAATTCTATACAATTATGTCCATTTCTGTGAGGTCGACAAAAATGTTGAATTATCAGATACTTTATAAATGAACGATGCTCCTGATAAATACGCTACGTACATTATATCATTAAGACTCCTACCTGTGTTGACTTGGTAATCAATATTTGGGACGATTCGCAATTCTACATTAAACAATTTTGAACACTTTTCAAAATCAGAGCGAAAGATATTCATAATGACTTCATCTTTAGTTCCCCTTTGTTTTGGGATGAATATTGTATAATTGTACCCCTGTGATGCAGTTCTACAAAACGAATTGAGGAAATTTTGAAAAATGGGATGGTTTCAGAAGTATTTCCATTTTGAAGGTTACATGCTACACATACCAGTGCTATATCCTGTTCAACCTCTTTGTTATTGTCTTCAAATCTAGAGATCTTGTAGAACGCTCTTGGTTCTTTCCAAACTGTCCACAAGTTTGGAAGCATGATCGATAGTATCCCTAAAAGTAGAATTACAGCGGCTACTTTACGTTGACTCCAAATCTTCTGCAAGCGTATGTTTTTAGCCATTTTCTTCTCAAATGTATCTTTTCTTCTCACTTTTATATTCGAAATGTAATTATGTTTTATATTCTTTTAAGCTTTGCACACATTGCAAAATTTGCAGAACGACCGAAGGGTGTGAGGGGTTCGAAAGCTTTTGTGCCTAGCCCTCAGGGGTGTATTTGACCATATTACGCCTGCTCTGAGGTCTTTATTACGATTCGAACATGAAAACACAGCAAAATGTTTCGAATATTCATTATGGTGCGCCATTACTACGACCTGCCGTTATGACGTCACATATTACACGTTTTACCAGGAGTATTCTTCGCGAATATACCCCGGGTGAAATGTTGACTTTGTTTACAGTTTATAGAAGGCGTGAATACAGACATGTTCGAATATATTTTAAAGTATACAGTGGGTTCGCTTCATCGTCTTTATTTGCCGTAACATATGACTACTTGACTAGGCAAATGGACAGCACTGTAGCCGCAAAAAGCAGATTACAGGGTATCCAGCAAAAAAGGCAACCCTACTCTTAAAGGACCAATGTAAATATGACTTGTATTGCAATCTTACCCACTGTCACTAAATATTCGAACCTTTTTTTCATTTCACGAAATGTTTTTTTTGAAGACCTTTTGTTCTTAAAATCTTAAAATTAAATTTTAGAGGTCGCACGATACTATTAAAAGCGATAATCCACACCGATGTTAGGATTCACTCATTTATGCAAACCTGTTCTAGGAAAATTGGAACTGGTTGATCCTAAGTTTGGACTTTGAAAGTCCCCATTTGAAGATAGCTTAACCCGAACATATCATTCAATCTTCACCCATGTTTTTCAAGTATCCCAAACGCTTTTTGTAAAACCTGCTCTGATTGGCTAATATGCTATGGGGTCATAAAACTATTCTGGCACCAAATTCAAATGTTATGACAATTCAAATGAGCTTTAAAACCTTACAATAAATTGAAATACTAGTATTTACAATTAACAGATGTGTGAAATAATTATATCTGGGCACAAAATATGAAAAATTACAACCCAGGGTTGTTACACTTGTATTCGCGAATGCAACTAACGCCTGTTAGATACTAAAAGTCTATGTCAATGGTAACTCATTTAAATATGAATGGAATAGTGGCAGGTACTGTTCAAATTTAAATAAGTTGGTCATTAAATAGGAAGTGAATCCGATAGCAGTTAGTTGCATTCGTGAATACAAGCTTAGTATAGCGAAGTAACCTCCTTCTATTTGTTTACATTCGCGAAAACGTATTTCGGGGTACAGAAAACGTTTGTGCTTAGCCAAGCGGTATCTATTCGTCGATATAATACCTGTTACTCTGTCTATATTTCTTAATTACATAATGTCATATTACAATACTTTTTGCCGATAGGGCTAAAAACAACCGCATTTTTGCTTTAATTTGCAATAAAAAAATGTATCCACAAAACAGTAATATTTTGCAAATGGAATACATCTGTCCCAGAAGAATTTGTGTTCCAACAATATTTTCCTCAGTTGATTTGATTTTAAAGCTAGAAAAGCTATAAAATTCCAATGAGAATTTAACATGGCACAAATGCAATCTGTTCAATTTTTTTCCATCTGAAAATATTTCATTGGGTGACTACCTATATAAGTAAACAACCAATGAAAATCGACTACATGCATGGGGTGACCACTGTGGAAGCACTGAAATCATGTTATTTTCTATCCGGTAATGCTATTGTATATATTCTCAGGGATAATTTCACATCCAGTTAGATTCAATTACTTATAGATATGGGTAATATAAAATATCTTATTGAGGAAATGGACTCTGTAATAGTCAATCTCGAAACATATTCAAGTAGTGATAGTGATTAAGACTATGTTAAGATTCCTAGTTGAGAACTTATAAAAAAATTGTACCTTTGAGATGGTCCCTTGCTGTACATGCCCTTCATACCTTAATGCATATGAAGTGCAACTGCAATAAACATACTCATCCCTGTTTTGCATGTTTTTGATTTTTGTTTACAACTATGTTAAATTCTCATTGAAATTTTGTTTTCTAGCTTTAAGGATTAAATCGACAGAAGAAAAAATGATTGAATCATAAATTAATTTGGGACGGAGGCATTCGGTTTGCGACATGTTGCTGTTTTGCGGATATTTTATTTCGATATTGCAAATCATAGCAAAATGCTCATTTCTAATGCATTGACATAGACTTTTAGTATCTATCTGTATGCACAATTTCTGCCAAAAATATTGGTATGTAGTTTGAGAAAATTGGATATCACAATTTGTGACCTAGGTTAATGACTTTGACCTTTGACCTCGATGGGTCGTTTGTGATTAAGTATGTAGACATAGATTTGAATCCAAAAAATCGATTCTCGGGACTCAGAGAAGGAATGAGATGTCATGGTTTATCATGAAAGAATGTCAACAAAAAGTCAAATCTTAAATCTAAGGTCAGATTTGAAATTCTTGAGAACTAGTAGATGATTTAAAAAACTAGTCAATTTGAAGCAAGTTGAAAAAAGTTCTTTTGCCATTTTTTTACCTTCATCTTCTCAAAATCGGGTCAAAATTAGTCCAGTATTGGCGTCCACCCGATATATTCATGTTGTACTTGGCTGGCTGTTGACGTTTTAATCCATTCGAAAGAGCTGTATAAAACAGTATAGTTATCACTATTCATAAAATATTTTCTGTCACTTGGCATCAAAAGAAGAAAGATTAATTTATGTACAGGTATACGCGTTTGTTCTTTTTTGTCAGTAGTTTTGTGCTTTAGCACAGATGTAGCCTGCTGATGTAAACATAACATCATCTAATGTAAGTTTAAGACGGCACGTGTTGTACGTGTAGCACCACCGATTTGGAAGTTTCAATTTGCCCAGCAATTGTAACACGTTTTGGGGAGATAGGTTCGATTCCTAAATCTTCTCTAATAATCTGAAAATAATATCAAAACAAAATGGTACGAGCGTTTCTAAAATTGTGTCCACAATCGACGGAGCGTTCCGAGGAAAACAAGCGATTTCTTGAGAATAAGTAATGGAATTGAACTGGAATTTCAACAAATAAGAATATACGGGATTGTGATTTACAACGTTAAAGTGCCCGATAAAGTATAAAATGCGCATGCGTCCAGGTGTTGATAAACTATAAATAGCGAAAATCCAGGGTTTGTCACCACAAGGTAAGCCAGGACGTGTTGAGAGAACAGCTAGTGTTGATATTGAATTTATATGTAGCCAGATAAGTTTCCATATTGAAATTACATATGGTTATTAGCAATACTCTGTAGGTGCTAAATAATAAAATATTTAGAGTATATATGAGAGAAATTGGTCATTTCGAACCTGTTGAAAAGTTTGTGGCTCTCGGCTACACCGGGGAATTTACTTCCATGAGTACACACATAAATGTGGGGTTCCCCAAGAGGTACGCGACAAGGTGACCTGGCATCAAATGTGCGACTAAATGCTACTATCGAGAAGATAAAATAACGAATACGACAATAAGTTATTGCATGTGACAATTCCGAGCCTTCATCTCACTGAAGTATTTTGAAGTGAAAATAGGATTTTTGTTTTGATACATGGATTCAGATGAACGTAACTTTATTCTGACAACTAATCAAAACTGAACAAAATTGATTGTACGTAACAGACAATTTATTGTTTTACAATGTTTTGATTGGCTAAACGAATGAAACCAACAAATTATGACATGTAAAATGACAATTTTGAAATGTAAAATTTAAAAGTGACAAACACAACCTCCCTATCCACTCTTTGGGACCCCTAGTAAATTAGTAATATGTACATGTAGCAGTGGTAGTGTACAGCTTATTATCACACTACGCTTTGTATTCTAAAGCCTGTTGTTTGTAATAACACTGTTCACTCAACGTATGTTTTGTGTGTGGGCAGTCAACGATAATCATTGTTTTATCCCGGTTATATGACCTCGGCAATTATAACAAAACCGCACTAAACGAAAAAACGCAAATAAGAGAAAGCTTTCACACACATATAAAAAATGAACTAGTCTAATCCGCCAGTATAAACTCTGTGCTATTCACCTTTCCATAAAGTCAGCTCATGAATATTATAATGAGCCGCTTAAAAATCTGTGACGTCAATGGGAGAAACTTTTTGCCCGCGAAAAACAAATGCAATTGAGTATACATGTAAATCCTCGGTTGATTGCTGTAAGTTTTACCTCTTCAAATGTGCAAATTATCAGTAAATTATTGACGAATTTTTTATTGAACGTCAAATTAACATTTATTTACGCCTTCTAAGCGATTTAAATATTAAATTTCTGTTCATAATGAGTAAATAAATTGAAGAGAATTACTCACGGTCATTTTTCAATCATAATGGGAACTGCATGTGAACAGGTGAAATTATCATAATCATTGGTTCACCAACATTATAACATGTCTCTCATGCATAAAAATATATAGATAGACAATCTATTTTAAGTTAATCTTCAGTGTCATTTGATGAATGACCTGTTCAAATTAAAAACATTTGCTCTTATTCATTTAATCATTGACTTCACTACTCCCATAATTCAATTAACTAATCACGATTACTTCCTATCTATTTCTGCAAGTCATATATAAGATCGTATCTTGAAAATAGTATACATGAAAACATCGGAATATAGAATGTTTTTTATTCAGTGTAGAAACAGTCAATTTGTTAGAATATCTTGCTAAAGCAAAACTGTCAACATAGATCCAGCAGACCGTGGAATTTTTCTTAGCCAAAATGATGATGGATTTCTCGAAAATAATGAGAACGCTTAGAAAACAAACCTGAATATGCAGGGTGTCCTGAAAACTTCATTTGTGAAACCTCACTTGTCATAGGATAAATTAGTTATGTGATGATCGGTTTTGAATAATGATCACCGGAAAGATTTCAAAGAAAGAGCGTATATCTATAATATTTATTGATGATATGTTGACATTGCTGATCGTTATTGACATCGCTGATGGCGAATTAATACCAAAAGGTAACGATATCGTATATGTACTATGAACAAATTTCATTTGGTAAATAATAAAGTAATGGTTTAAGTCTAACTTCTAGGATA